AATATATCCCACCTGAATTTAGAGATCATCTGAAGAACAGATTTGATACATTAAACACTAAAGATCGAAGACTAGAAGAGTTGTGGGATGACATCAAGAACATCATACCTGAAGAAAGTAAAAAGTCATTAAGAAGACAAGAAAGAAGGAAAAGTTCAAAATGATTTTCAGAAGAGACACTGAAACTTGCTCTCCAACCTAGAGACACACTAAAGTAAATGGAAGAAATGAGGAGGTCCAAGAGCTGAACAGAAAATTTCAAAGGTCAGCTCAAGAAGACAAAGGTCAAATGTTACAAAAAATGTGCAAAGATCTGGAGTCAGAAAACCAAAAAGGAAGAACACGCTCAAGCTGGGGGAATTGAAGAAAAAATTCAAGCCTCAACTTTTGTTATTGAAAGATTCTCTGGGAAAATTACTGAATGATGCTAATTGTTGTGAGCGAGAGAGAGGAAGAAAAAAAAACTCACCAAAGTTGTATACATGTATACATTTTATAAAAAGCATTATATCAGTCATACTTTTTGCCATTAGTATACTTACCTTTCAAAAAGGGAGCAGATGCTGTTTTATTAATTATTTGCTGGGTTATATCAGAAACTGGTGTGTACACAAATGTCATATAAGAATTATTAAATTCATCTACCCTTCCCAGATTCTGAGAAGGTACTTCAGGAATATGAACATTTTGTCTGAAATATGAAAATAGACCCATATACATTCCTAAAAGTACTGGGACGCACCATTCCTAAAATATATAGAAAAAAAAAATTTAGATTGCATTCCCTGAAACAACTTATCAACACCAAAGAACTAGAGACTATAACTTCTAATATTATCATACAGTCATATTATTTACCATCTCTTTGCCTTTAGAGCTAAGAAAACCAAAGGAAAAATATATACTGAGATTAATAGTTACATGCATAAAATAACCCTTTCATTAAAGTTAAAACTACTGTAGAATCATCAGATAAAGTAACAGGATAATGTATTTTATGTACCTGGGCCACACGCTCAAGAGAGGAGAGAAACATCATTTTTTAATATTTTAGATTCTAGAATCAGGGAAATGCTTGAAAATTGTGTCTCCTTTTAGTAATGACCAGTGTTGAAACAAGTTGTAAGTATATATGTATATACATAAGTGTATATATATATATTGTTGTTGTCAGGTGCCATCGAGTCGGAACCGACTCATAGCGACTCCATGCACAGCAGAACGAAACAATGTCCGATCCTCACTACCGCTGCCACACTCAGTGCCATCAATGATGCCACCTGGC